TATATATATATGTTTTATTTTTATTTTATTTATTTATTTATTTTTTTCGTTACAAAACCGATCATAATAGTTTTTTTGTTTACTAAACCGACCACAATATGAGGTGTACTAAATAATTTTCTGAAGTTTTAAGCCATTTGATGATATTTTTTTTAACCACTGGTAAAAGTTTATGAACTCAATGCACATTTTTTTAATCAAAGTTAGTTAATTTATTTTTAGAATCAATAAAACTGGTCTTTATTCTTTAACTAAAACCCTCAAATTCTCATTTTGTACTGACAATTTTTATAAATTGAATCAATTAAATTGTTTTTAACATTCTTTTACTCAGCTCACAAAACAAAATATCAATTTTTAAGTTAAAAAAAATTTCAATTTTCTTCTTAAAATCCTAATATCACGTCTTACAAAATCCTTCAAATTTCCACTAACTTTTTTTTTTATTTTTTCTTTTTCTTCTAAACTTTTAAAATTATTTGATTTTCTGAAGTCATCATAACCCCTCCTCCCCCACCCCCAAAATTTAGACATAAAGTAAAATTTTGAATTATTTATAAAAAAGAAACTTAATAAATGACAAAAAATGGTTAATTTTAGAAATAGAAAAAAAAACTTAATTAAAATGGCACAAGGAATCAAATAGATATTAAGGTAGGGGAGACTTGAATGAAGATTAGGGACGCGAATAATCGATAGATAACATAACTTAGGGTGGGTGGAGATTGTGTAGAAAATTGAAGTTAGAACTAAACATAAAAACCTATTTAAATACAAGTTTAGAAGTATATTTTTTTAGAGTTTTCTATTAAAATATAAAAAAAAATTCTAATAAAAAAACTCAAAAATATTTTTATCTTGTATCTAAACATGTTGATCACGTTAAATCATGGGCTTTGGTATTTTGGGCAGCTTGCCATTGCCTTTACTATCAGTTTGGTCGTACATAGTGACCAAGAACTAGAACATACCGTTGAATGTCATCCAAGTGGTCCTTCACGTTAAGGTCACCTACACTATCACTTTGGAATTTGGATAAGCTACTTGCAAACAATGATGTTAACATCGAAAACCAACCCTCTTATTGTGTTTGGACTACTCGAAGTTTTTTTTTTTTTTTTTTTAAATAATTTTTTTTATATAAAAACTAATTATAGCTTTTATTAGGAACAATTTTATTCGAATTGAATATAATTACTATCAGCAAAAAAAAATCAAATATTTAACACCCCAGCATATACAAGACTAGAATTAAGATGAGTAATTAAGTGCTTGCTTGGTTATCATTTAAAATGATGTAAACGGAAATTTTCTCATTCCAAAGTAGAAAAATGAGAAGTAACAATGTTCAACGGCCGTTTAAGAATTTATGACAATAAATCAAACACACTGCAAATGGGAACATCACCGCATTAGTTAATAGTCCATCTTGCGTTTTTGAAAAAATTAAAATGGCTGGAGTTTTGAAAGCATTACATAGATACCTGACTACTGTGAGATCGATTCGAAGAAATGGACCCATCATGAATGAATGAAAATTTGTCAATTATGTAACACAAGGAGAACTGTCACAGTGCCAATTTTAATAGGCCAAGACTATAATGCTACCAAATGTAAGCAGCAAGTGGCAGCATTGACATCCATCCATAGAGCAAGTGGCAGCATTGACACCCATCCATAGAGCAAGTGGCAGCATTGACACCCATCCATAGAGCAAGTGGCAGCATTGACACCCATCCATAGAGCAAGTGGCAGCATTGACACCCATCCATAGAGCAAGTGGCAGCATTGACACCCATCCATAGAGCAAGTGGCAGCATTGACACCCATCCATAGAGCAAGTGGCAGCATTGACATCCATCCATAGAGCAAGTGGCTTTTAGTATTATTTTTAAATTTAAATTTTACTTACATTAAAGATCAACATATTATTAAAATGATACTCTTGATTCTGATTGCAGAGCCCTAAAAGCACCAAAAAACACTACATATAGGATTAATCCTAATGAATTATTCATAATGTGTGATTAAGGATCAGAAGTTACAGACTTGAATAGACAGTAGACTTGTCACGTGGTTGCATTTATGCTTTTGGGATTTCAGCATCTTAATATTATGTAAAAAAGTGAAACAATGAAAAAGAAAGTAAAAATGTAGACGAATTCTAGGGTGCTCAAGAATTATAGGTTGTTTAACGTGGTCAAGTAATATACACCATTAGATTATTTTATACTATTAGATTAGATTTAATAGTGGACAATCTGTAGCCATTTTTTCCCCATTTCTTATCTTTTCTTTCACCCTTTCTCTTTTCTGTTCTCATCCCACACACGCGACCCTCCATACCCTTTTCTTCCTGTGTCCCTCGTTTGCAACCAGAACACTCTTCTAGTTGCATGTCAAGATAGTTGGAAAGCACTCAAATGGGTAGCCTCTCCGATGACTGCACATCCTCCTTCCGACTACTCTTAAAATTGTATTTTAAACAAATGAGAGCAATCTTTATAGACCATTAATTTTCAAGAACTCCTTTTATTGCCAGCACAGAGCCATGTTACGGACCGAGATTGTGTTGTCGCTGTTTATGGTGAAAAGCATGCTTCATGGGTATGGGATGTGAACAGAGAACATAAAGGATGAAAGAAATATAAGAAAAGAAAAGGGAAAAATCGGTTATAGATTGAACACAATTAGATCTGACAGTATAAAATAATCTAACACTGTATATTACTTGATCACGGTAAACCCACCTATAACCATTGAGCACCCTAGAATTCGTCAAAAATGTAAACATCATTCAACAATTCTAACAGTAGATGCTTTTCATATTTAGAACGACATACATAGTAAAATACAGCAACAGTTTTCACCACGTCTCTGCCCTAGCAAAAATCCTAAGTGTGCTCCTTTTTGGTACAGAATGGCAACAAAACAACAAAAAGGCCTTCAAAACTTGTATTTCAAGTGAACCTCGCTTATTTGTTAAAAAATGGATAGATACGATCATCAAACACTCTCTCTATGTTGTTCAAAATTATACAATGATGAATGCAAAGACAGTATACTGTCTAAATCCCTTTCTGGTGCTGCATGCAACCACATGTCACTACTCACTCTTGGTTCCTTTAAGTTGCTTCTGTAATTTGCAGAAGCCAATAAGTGTGATCGAGTCTTAGACAATAAGCGCACTGCAAGAAATCTCCCACCTAAAGAGCTTCTTGCCTTGACTTTCCCATATGTTTTGCCCACAGCCTTCAAGCTACCCTTTTGACCGATCACAAGGGGGAAACTGATTGAATCAACTGTCTTCACATTACTGTAGTGATCAATGCATGGTGAAGGAACTGACGCCGGTTTTGATCTCCCCTTGTTCCAGAATGAAAAAGATTGTTGCAGCTTGGATGGAACCTGATAAGCCAATCGACAAAGAAAAATGTTCATGAACTTGCCTGTCTTCAATCCAAACTTGTAAAGCAAACAGTTTCTATTCTACACATTGAAATGAAGTGGAATTAAGATAACAATGTGATGCAAGCACACTGGCACATACACAACCACTAGCAAATTCATGATTTGTGAGCAAGAGATAGAGAAGCACCGCCCTAATTTAAACTTCATCACATAACATTTAGAAGCTTTTCAGAGCCTTATACATGACCCCTGAAATTGATTTACAAAAGACTTCATGGTTGTATTTCAACAATGTGACTCATAAATATTCATGGGATAATTTCACAGAGCTCCTCTAAAGTTTGCAATAAGTACATCTAAACCCTGTTTGTTTCAGAAATTTCACTACCTCTCTTGCACATCCCTTGCTTTGTTATTTTTAAGGGTACTATTTGCATGCTTCGTACATTAAAATAAGGGAAGAACAAGTAATTTTAAAAAAATAAAGGGCGTTAATGCATAAGAATAAGACATACTGAGGAATGTAGGAGAAATTTCCAAATCAAGCAATGTCTATCTGTAATTACTGCTAATCTCAAGGGAGATCAGTGTTATCCCAATATTCTTTATCATACTTTACCTGGTTATTCACAACTGTAAAATTATGAGAAATATTTACAAGAGTAAGGTCGCCAGATTCAATACTTTGGTAGTTTCCAACACATGAAAAAAAAAAGAAAAAAAAAAAGCGTACAAGCCTTCCTAGTGAAGGCCAAATGAACTCATTGAAATGTACATCTGTAAGGGCATCTGAGAATAGACAAGTCAAATATACTATCAGCTAACTTGTTAAATAGTTCAATCAAAGAATAGTACAAGAATCAATGCATAAAAACTGTCTTAAAACACCATTAAAGTTGCTTAATGGTGTTGAAAAGGAGAAAATTATAATTTGATATTAAGATGAACAGTACAATTCCTTGATATCTCAATGGGGCCTGGAATACACAAGAAAGCATATAACTTGACTACCAGAATCGGTTTCAAAATATAAGACAGGCATATATAAAAACTTGCATCAAATGAAACTGAGGAATCATAACTCACAGCAGAGATAAGGCTGCTAGAAGCAAATGCAAGTGAAGATGTAGAAAATGGCGACTTCCCAGGTTTTCCCTTCTGCTGATCTGCTGTCCGTCCCTGCTCAACAGACCCAAAACTTGATTGTGCACTATTATCCTCGTCTTCGTCTTCATCATCTCCATCCTCATCATCTTCGTCTTCCACCTCTGCAGGAGCTTCCTCTTCCACCTCTGTAGGAGCTTTCTCTTCCACCTTTGCGGTAGCTTTTTCTTCCACCTTTGCAGGAGCTTTTTCATCTTGGTTGGTTACAGAAGTCAAATCATCACCATCATCATCATCACCATCATCGTCGTCTTCATCAAGCAAACCCATTTTTGCTTTCTTTTCCTCTTCTTTCTCTCTTTCACGCAATAACTCTTCCATATCCTTAATGGCGTCTTCTAGATCAATTTCAGCATCTATCAGTTCAAGTTCTTCCTCAATTGCTTTCTTTTCCTCTTCCTTAATTTTCTTCTGTTCCTCAATCCATTTATCTAGTTTATCAATCCATGGCTTACATGCATTTTCAATTCCAAGTATAATACGCAACCATATGCTCTGTTTTTCTTCCACTGTTTCTCTTCCAAAAAACTCATCATAACCAAGGGGCAGGAATACAGCCTTTTCAGGATCCACATCCTCGCCCTTTCCCAGAGGTGGCTGCCAGAATAAACGTATTCCATATTTCTCATCTTCAACATAATTGATAATATTTCCAGTTGGTGTATGGAGGATGAGAGGATCCTCGGTACATATAAGCTTTGAAGGATCTTCAGGATCAGGCTCCGGTTCCTTGTTAATAAGGACAAATTCGGGAATCTCGTGATTCTCCTCTGACCAAGGATTTGGAGGAAGAATTAATTCAGAACTCTTTATTTCATTGCCAGACAGGAGAGGACTATAAAAGTCATGCCAACTATGGACTTGTTCATACAGATAAATAGAAAGAACAAATACCTTTTGACCACCAGTACTCAAGCTCTGCTGGCATGGGTAACCTAAGAGGAGCTTTGTAAAAAGAGTTTAACCACATTTCTCTTTCTTGATCTACTTCATGCACATATATTTTCCAGTAATCAGGGACCTGCAGTAGAATCATACCCATGTTTCAATTTCCATGCATAAGATGACAATAAGCACTGTGTTAGGATAAAAGATTGCCAGTAAGCCTCACTTCATAAAACTGGTTAATGAAGCCAGGTGCCATCCACACATCCTCTTCTTCATAAAAGTATGGATGCTGTGGATCAGTATATGGGCCTCTCTGTTCTCTAACCACTGACAAACAAAGTGTTAAATAATATCAAATGAATAATGATAAACAAAATAAAAACAGCACGGCGCCAATCGGGCAAGGTGGGGAAACATTTCCATTCCAAATATATAATTTTACACCTATACAATAAAAGCAGAAAGACTGTACTAGTACGCCAAGAGTCAACACTCAACATGCATGCTTAACTATCTTTACTAGATGAGACAACTGTCTAGAGACAAAAAGGTGAATCCAACAATGTACATATTTTTAGTGTGAAGTTATCATTGGTCATTAATATTTATTATGACTTAAACCACACAAATTTTTTCCTGGCGGGGGGGAGTATTAAATTATTTTAGATAAATAAGCGCCTATTTTTCCCAGCTTGTAGAGAGTTTGAAAAATAAAAATTATTTTCTCAAAAAATAATCTCAACCAAACATATGCTAAATGGTGAGGAGATGTAGGAGGAAGAAGGTAGCAGAACACAAAACTTTATACCTAAACCCATAACACATGCACTAATCAATGGATCTAGCATCCAAAGAAATGGCCAAACCTAAAGTCGGAGACCACCCCTCCACCCAAAATAAAAACATGAATATAATGTTTTCAGAGATAAAATTTCAAATAGGTCAAACATCATACTTCCATCTGGCTTGTTAATAAACATGCGAGCCTTTGCAGCAGCAACTTCTGCTATACCGGCATGCATCTGAAATTGACAGAATATCAGAAAGAATAAGACATTGACACAGCTCTTAGATTATCATTTTTTATTATTATACAGAGATGAAAAACTTATAAAAAGAGCATTTTAATACCGCTGAAATTTCATCATCACATCCCTCAAGGTCATCCAATAATTCTCCAAAATAAAATCTGCCCTGCATGCACACAGGATATGTAACCAGGAAAGAAAATAGGTTTTTTACATGGTTCAAGTGTGATGGAAATGCTATAATCCATTATGCAGATAGTACACCATAAACTTAAAATTGCTGTATGTTGTGTAAAAAATAAAGGTCCTAATAAGCACAAGGAGTATAGGACACTCTCCAGGAAGCTAAAGCAAAACATACTTTATTTGTGCAATTATTTTTCATCTTCATATTCTAGCTTCATCTCCCCATTTTAATAAAAATTGGCATGAAAAAGGTTGATTGTAGTTAAGAAGTTGAAACATAAATTTTGTCTAATCCATGTACATACATATATGACACGCTCATTAACTTCATATACACCACATCCATGCATCCTCCCATGCTTCCACTGACCGGCATAACGATAGCGACCTTTCTCCCTGGGCATAAAAGTATAAAGCCTTTTTCAATACCAGTAATAATGTACGGAGAGATATAAAAAGACGATGCACAAAAGTGTGATGTCTAGAGAGAAGTGTTGCAAAGTCTTACCTATCTCAAAGAGAATAAAGCGATTCTAACTGGAAAAGGCAAAATAGAAATAGATAATTAAACTTACGGCTTTCTTCCAAATTGCTTAACCCATTCCTCATTCTCATAAAAGGGAATTTCATAGCTCCCATCTGCAAGATAATACATATCTTCGATATCCTTCTCAAGCCATTCTCTGTCTTCTGGGGAATAAAAATCCCTTGCTATTATCTTTCCTTGAGCTCGCATCTTTGCTTCAAGCCTAAGCACATGGACAAAAAGCAGCACAAGTTTGTTTTCATGAAATTGAATGTGTATTCAAATCGTGCCACAATCAAAGACTTCATTCACACGTAAGGGGGCAATTCAAATAAAGTACATACTTGGACCCAGGAGCAGGTTCTATAACAGGTATATCAACTTCAACTACACCATGACCCTCTACGTCATTTTGAAACCATTCACCTTCATACCTATGAAAAGATAATACATTGCAGAATATCAGTGACATTGAAAAAAAGCATTGTATGAAGATTGACATGTCAAGAAATGAGGGGCTGATACATCTGATGGGAGAAGACGAGTAAATGCGGACACTAGGTGAAATAATTAGCTAACAGAGTGTCATAGACCACAACAGAACCCCAGAAAACATGACCAACTGATAAAGTTAATGTCATTGTCAATTCCAACACTTTTTCTCCCCTTCTCCAAGTCTGTCAAAGTAGGATAGTTAATTCTTCGAGATAATATCAAAACCACTTCAATTGTCACATGCTATAAATTTCTAAAGCCCGTGCGGGTGGGTCACTGATCTGCTCATGCTCCAAGCCCACAACATTCTCACATGACAAGGCACAGCAGACAGCATATGCTTACAAATTTAATAAATAAAAGAAGGGCAATGACTAGACTAATCAGTTTGTTAGTCCTGCTCTCCTGTGCTTAACGTCAACAACTCTTATCATCAATACGATTTAGGTTACAAATATCTTCATGTCATCAGACCAACAGCAGACACAAAAAAAAAAAAAAAAACTACACAAATTCCTCCCCTCACACCCCCTCTTTCCAAATACATTGCGCCTTTAACTACTGAGTGCTAATTACTTGAATCAATTCAGGTCTGATTGAAAAAATTTCTCCAAAAACACTTCTAGAAGAAAAAAAAAATGAAATAAGCTTCATCATAAGTTAAAATTAGTATATGCATAAACCAATTTGTAGATTTGTAGAAACTTTCTTTTATTAGCTTCTCCAAAATCTTATTTTTAACTTGTACATAAACTAATTTTAACTTATGAAAAATTTATTTCAATTTTCCCTTTTTTTTTCCTCCTAAAAATATTTAGGTTATCCAAACAGTTTCTGTATCTCATTCTATGTCGTTTAACTTTGACACCAGCAAGGTCTTAAAAGCTCGTCTACATCCATAGCTTCTCCCGCATCGTCAAAGTTTGTGGGGAGTCTCCACAACCAAAACTTAAAACCTTGGCCTTGGGCACGCTCACTACCACTAGCTAGAAGGAAAAAACCAACAGCACAATTCGACAATGGAGGAAATACAAACCTGACGAGTCCATCATCCGAAACATAAACACCTTTTCCATGAGCATAGTCATCCCAAATAGTCCCTTCATACCTGCAAAACAACAAGAATGTGGCACAGAGAAGAAGAAACAAAAGGAACGACGGTAGGTAGAGATAAGTTAGTATACAGACGTGCTGCCATCTTCGAAAACGTAGCTGACCCACTTGAGAAACTCCTCAATCCTATCCAACTCTTCAATGACAGCCTTGGGATTGGCAATGTCGTAATGGTTGTCAGGAATAGCAGGGTAGTGCTTCCGGTAAGGGAGATAAAAGGGAGCAATGGGAGGCTCTTCTCCGTCCGCAATCTCGTCGAGCACGTAGCGCCACTCCTCCTCGGAGGCCCAAACGGGGTCCCAGCCCGTGCCCCCAATTTCTTTGGGCCCGTCGGCCCAAAGCTCCCTGAGGTCCTGCTCGGTCCATTCCTCGGGGTCGTAGGGGAAGTCGTAAGGGTTTTCCTCTTCCACGATTAAGGGGTCGTCCTCCTCCTGCATCTCCTTCACCGCGGGGCTCTCCAGCGCCGCCGAGAATTCCCTCAGGTTGGCGTCGGGGTCGCCGTAGCGGGGGGCGGCGTCGTCGGCATCGTCGTCGGCGTCGCGGTCGCGGAAGGCGCGGCGGAATGCCTCGTCCTCTGCCTCGTCGAAGTCGGAGTCGTAGTCGGAGTCGGAGTCGGAGTCGGAGGCATTGGCGGAGGGAGTGTCTTCGTCGTTGGACATTGTTTGGGGAGAGGATAAGGTGAACTCAAATGTAGCTGCTGCTGCTGCTACTTCCTGTGCTATCTATCGTTACAAACGACGAGGGAACACAAAAGAGAAAGAGGGTTAAAGACTTAAAGGGTTACACCCAACGACCATCTTTCCTGTCGTTTCACTTATTCAACCCATGCCACCCTCACTCCTCACCCCACTCTTCAATTTTTTTTTTTAACTAAAAAAACTTTTTTTAATTATTTCAAAAATATCCCAGAGATAATAAATAAGGGTATTATTTATAATAAATGTGATTGATAATATCTTTAAAATATAATATGTGTTTTGTATGAAAGACAGAGAACTTTGTTTTAGATTTGATGATGAGGAATTGACTATAGATAAAGATAAAAATGAAGGATTAAATATAAATGAAGAGCACATTTATACACGTGCTTTGAAGAAGCTTGATATTTATGAGGAGAATGAAGGTATGAAACGTAAATGAAAAACTATCTTCTGAGATCTATCAAATGTTCAACGTCTACGAAGAATAAACAAGTTAAAATTGACTAAAAAGATAAAAGCACCAAAAGGAAAACTCAAGTCACACTCTAAGGTGGTTTGACTCTAAGAATATATTCATAAAAATTATAAACATAATAAATGAAAGAAAACAAACATCAAATAATAAAAAAATATCAGATTTTAGACTTAAATTTAAATTAGATGTCCAAAGATAAAAGTAAGGAAAAATGTATGCTTAAATATTTTTAATTTAAAAATATCAAAATTTTGTTTTTATTATTTTAACATTTCTTTTGTGTTTTAAGGATAATATATTAATATTTAAATTTTTGCATATAAGTTCAACTCTATATATAAACCCAAAAACAAAATAATTGATAACTTCTCTTAAAAAAAAAAAAAAAAAACCATCAAGGTGTTTGTGCTTCATCTTTTGGAGTTGCAGCATGATGATGGTAGACGACAAAAAATCTTAAAATTATGTAAAGAAGCGAAAAACAAATGCAGACAATTGAAGCCCAAAGAAAGGGACATACAAAAGTTACATAGTTCACTTAATTACGTCCCTGGGAAGCAACATAGTGCGTGTTTGCATTGGGGTTCAAACGTGAAAAATCATGTTCAATTAGAAGCAACAAATAATAGCTTTCACATAAAATTACTGTTCGACGTGGAGAGAGAAGACAAAATTGATTTACAAAATGGAAACCAAACACGCAGATAATCTCTACTCACATTAATAAAAAGCACAAAGCTCTAAACACAACAAAAAAAAAACTTGAATTGTTAGAGTAAAATTCTCACTCATTTCTTACTTTTCACAATGAGAATCTCTCTGATCTCCACAAACTGATTCTAATATATAGCAGTTATATATTGATCTTAGATACAAATAACATTTTGTTTGGATGCAAGGTTTGTAAAACTGATTCTAGTAACATTTTGTATGGATACAAGGTCTAAGTTATAACCTCACGCAGCATGCATATTTTACATAAAATCGTACCTCACAAAGATTCAGAGTGTAGACAATTTCTGTTTTAGAAATAAATGATCAGTACATGACACAGCAAACATGAAAATGGATAAATAATTTACGATGCGTAGTCTTGTTTTCCGTGACAGAGCAGTTATGTGCAGCAGGTCTTTGTGCATCTTTGTTGGTTTCCATGTTTGGAATAAAGTCGTAGACTCAAATAATATGTGGTCAAATATTGCTTACTCTTCCTAAAGATTCCCAATTCTTATAAATAATTTGAGAAGAAAATAACTCAGTTTGTAAATCATGTACTAGTGAGTTGTGACTGCAGTGACTATTTTCCGTCAGTTTTTTTTTTTTTGTTAGAAAGTGAGAACTAAGGTGGCAGATGCTTGCCACAACGTGACAATACTTTTGTCCACAGTATAATTGATTCCTTGCAATAATAATCATTGTATTGTCTAAGTGTTTAACCCAAAAAATATTAAACTAAATATAGTTATAAAACAAAATCACACAACAATTCATACAAGTATAAAAGAGATATAGGACGAGAGAAAAATAGGATTAAAAAGGTATGAATTTACTGAATCAACAATAGTCATTTCACTTGGTAATTTTATGTTTTTATCTGCTTTTACAACTGTTTTACACCCGTGTTGGCCTACGAAAACCAACATTATAATCAATAGAATTAAGCTTGAGCCTGTGCACTTTATCTTTTCTGCTTTCATTTAACAGATTAGCTTATGTTGCTGCTTGAATTTACTGAATCAACATGTAACAAGTTATGCACATATAAAAGTGAGACCAAGAGCCAGAAAATTTATGTCATACACATATCGTCTTCTATAGTCTTTTAGTTTTCCTCCTGATCTGCTTACGTGGCTACATTGGAATAATTGATGCTTCAATGACAAGAATGTTTGATATGCAACAAGATGATATAAGAATCTTGAAACAACAGATTTCTTAATTCCTAAGGTTTGAGACTCACAGAATGCATGTATAATTGTAGGAGAGTTGAACAAACTTGTCACACATAGCAGAACATGGCTAATAGAAGTAACAAGCTTCTGTTATATATATGTTCAGCACTTGCTTTACACCAAACAGATGATACCTTAATACCACTTTAACAAGACTCGTGCAAAAGCCCCAAGTGTTGTAGTGAAAATAAAAACAGTAGGAGACATCCTAGCTTAATATTATCTGAAAGCTAAATTAAGAAGATAAAGTATAAAATGAAAGATTTCTGATTTCAAGGCTTATGGTGCTGGGTGTAGATGTAGTCTAGGTGAGCTTCTAAAGTCATTCTTCTCTGCAAACATTCTTCATCTCCACTATTGCAGTCCTCCACCCCCATCAGTTGCTAGATTCCAGAACATACATAATTGTAAGATATAATATAAAGTAAAACAAGCAAATAACACTTTAGTGAAATAAAAAAGGCTCCTAGTTTCTACCTTCAAAGATTGTCCTCCTTCCAACTCCAAAACAAAGTCCTCCCCTAAGACTTCATTCACCTTCAATCTGTTTCTCCCTACAGAAAACCAAATTCCACTTAGTAAAACACACTCCATGGAGAGTCCCTTAAAGTTAAAGAGTTAACGAACAAGTTCGTACCTTGTTCCATGATGAGTGGCCTAGCAGATAGTTTTGACGAGGAAACTAGGAAGAAAAGGAACAATAAGAGAGCTCCAAGGTGAAGACTCGGCTTCATGTTTGTGTAATTGAACGAGAGAGAAAAGGGTGTTGAGAGATGCAAACTATAAAGAGGGGATAGTTGTGTGTTGGCTCCAACAAGCTGCTGAAAATAGATATAAATACATACATGCAAGCCATGTAGTCACATGAAGGTTCCAAAAGAAGGCCGCTCCATTACAATTGCACAATACCTCATAAACTGGTCCCACTCACCATCCATTATTATATATATTTTTATCGACTTTACTTAATAATTTCTAAGAAATTTAATTAACAGATCACTTTTAGTAGAATGTTTTCTTTCTATCACATTTTTTTATTTATAAAATTTAAATATGACACTATTTAAGAAAACTGAATCCCATTCCATTCCAAGTAGCATTGTTGGTATCCTATTATTATACTACTCTCCATGCTAATGTGATGAGACCGGACCAAACCACTATTTATTATGATGTATGTGGAAGAGCTTTAGTCATTGTCTGCCATAGTGGTCCAAGCACAGTGCAAAAAGCATTCATAAAAGGATCAATGTAGTAGTGGTTTGACAGTGTTAACAAGTCAACCTTTAGGACACACTGACAGCTGTTGTCCAACCTCACGTTTACCCCTGACATTCAACATCTGGCACACTTTATATGCTGCCTTTCTAATTAATTAAGCCATGAAAAACAACATCCTAAGCCCTAGATTTCCCAAACACTATTATAATAATGTCTGCAGTTGCTTCCCCACTTGTGATCAGAACGATGTCAGTGGCAAAACCACCCATCATAGAGCCACCATGGACTATATTCTTATCATCTTTGGCAGTACTATTATTGTGTCAAATGTTTTTTCATTTGTTTCTGCTTCCTCCACGACTCTGATAATTTATGCACGCTTCTTTTGAGCTAAACTATAGTTTAATTTAACTCTAATTTGCCATGTGATGTGCAAGTTAATGAATGTGATAATAGTATACTTGGCAAGCTTATGAAGCTTCAATGTAATGCTGATTTTTTATAATCATGATAGTGCTTCATCAATAACTATGTACCTCTACAATATGGAAGATTCGGTTTCTTGCCAAGTGCAATATTGTGTAATGGAAAATGGTGAAGCTGATTGTTATTCCACTTAGGAATTCCAAGTTTGAGGGTGTAATTTGTGATTTGTCCTTTCTTTGTAATTAATTAAAAGCTAGACTGAGGCCAAGATTGTGCTTCTCTTTTGGAGGATTTGCATCTTGCTGTCTCTAGCTAGAAACTTAAAGAATATAAAGGAAAAGGCAGTGTCGGATTGGGATTCGGCACGAGCATGTTTTTTAATTATGTAGAGTGGTTCCCTAGAGAATTGAGTTGGATTATTCTAAAGACGTTTAGCATGCATGATTGCAACCATGATATGATGCCTCTTTCTTCTTTCTAGGAAAAACAAAGGTGGATGGATCGCATTCCAACATCTTCTGAGAAGGACAAGAAAATTGTTAGTCTCTATTTCATTTTATTTGACTTAATTTTTAGTAAAAAATAATTGTTATCTCATTTTAGTTATTATTTTAGAATATTAATAAAGTATTAAATATTTTATCCTTCTATTGTATCCTTAAACATTTATTTTGTAGAGAGAAAATGAAAAGGATTAATGCAGTATTTTATTGGAAAATGGGAATGACATGGCTGAAACAGTTTATGGTTGGTAATGAAATGATCTTTGCTAGATATAATGGACAAGTCATGTTGACTCACCAGTCTGCAATTTTTCAGGATATCATGTGGCATGTCATGCCTCATGGGTGCAAGAAACATACCAACCTTGTCCACTGGCCCAGAAATTTAATACAGGTAGATCCTCTTAAAATGATTCGTTTATTTCATTATAGAGAAAATTCTTGTAATTTTATGATTTCGAATAATGATATTTGATTCTCCAAGGTGGGGGAAGAATATCACCTGTTACCACCACTAAATAAAAGTAAAAGCATATAAAATGTTTTTTTTCTTTCTGATAAAAAGGTGTAAGGTTTTGTTTTCTTCTTATATATTCCCAGGGTGAGCTTGCACTTGCATTAACTGATGAAATAGATAGGGCAGCATGTTCTGCAATTTGGATCATCATGCAATTTTCTTTCTCTAACCTTTCTCCTACAATATTAATAGTCATGAGATATATTTAATAGCTCAAATTTAATCATTTAAGAAGTTACGTTAATTATAAGATTAAATTTAGGCCATTAGATATATTTAATGGTTATTAATATTACATGAAAGAGGCTGGAGAGAGAAAATTGCATGAGAGGATCCAAATTCCATGTTCTATTTTCAACTTCTGAACTAAAATTTGGTAAAACTAAAATGAGACGAACGAGGATCTGGATTCCTGCGGTAATTGCAGGATCCTGCATTCAAGGGTCAAAATATTCAAATATTTCTTTATTAATTTTTTAATGTAGGAAAGATAAAAATTTAAAGCATTTGTTTAGATAAACTTACCATGGTTTTTTAAAAACAATAAAAATAATTACTTTTGAATGAACTCATCATAATTTTGTACTCATTATAAATTTTACTACCAAACCAAAGCACACTATAAGAGTGGAAATTTGGTGCACGTTTTTTTACCAAGAATCTCATTCACAGGGTTAAAGGCTTGCTTTTCAGTGCGTGTTTAAATTCTCTTCCACACATTTCTTATATGAATCAGAAAAGTAACTATTAGTCACTTTTTTTTCAATTATTTATGAAAGTTACAGTGACGACAACTGTGCTGAGTTTAAAATACTGTACATATTATTAGGTTTTTTTTGTCTTTACGAAATACTATCGATTACAATCGAAACATGTACTGATTCTCATTTAATTGCGAGTGGAACAAGTGGTGTACGGATCAATTTACAAGCATCTCATATAATTCATGTCTCTGGTTGGATCAAAAGTAAACCATGATGTTGGGTCCATCCAGTATGATCTTAACTACCTAAAACTTATGCTTGAACCATATATAATATGCTAGTATCATAAATTTAATCTAACACCATACGTTTCATTTCCATATTTTAGGTGTTTTGTGTTGATTGATTTGATGCCTTACTTTTAGTATATATAAATTCTTGATTGTTAGAGACCTTAAAACCTCTTTATTATAAAGAAAAAAAGAACATGTGGAGGAGAGTCATTAGGTGGGGTTGTCCTCTCAAGAGTGAACCTTGGATCAACTGGTTGGGATTGTGGGGCTTGTACTGCATCTTTCTTCATAAACCCAGCATTTCAAATCAATAAACCCCCGAGTACATATGTTTTTGCAATTTGACATGATTTCGTGGCCCTTGTAGTGCTGTTTATTTATTTAAAACGACAAATTAATGAGTTGCTTTTATTTACCTTAATCATATTTTTTTAATTAATTTTAATCAATATATTCAAGAAACTTAACTATCTTACTTCTATAGGTGATGTTTTTGCCCTCATTTCTTTGCCTTACTTAGGTGTGTCCAATGCTCCGAAAGTCTGAATCTAGGACGCAAAAGGCATCTTCAGGACTCTAAGATAAAAGCAATATCAAAGCAAAGCACCCTTTCACACACTTTTTTTCTTTTTCACTTTAAGTGCATTCGAGGAGGACTTGCACTCTTCCTATTCACACAACTTTTTTCCCCCAATAAATTATTATAATTTCAATTCTTATAAAAAAATCTCTCTGTATTTTGAATGATACTTTTTTTTAGGATGAATATACTTTTAGCTGATTTTCTTGCTCAATAAAATTTTAAGAATTTAAGCTTCCGCTCACAATATTTTTTAAAGTATGGTACAGCTTATTTATATTCCGTTTGTTTCGTATATTTTGCTCACTTATATGGGGTTTGTTTGTGCGTAAGTTTATTGAAAATCATGTGATATATTCACCAAAACAAAAAATTGACATAAACTTTTACTTATTTAAAGTGTAGTTTTAACTTTTAAGGTGGTGGGGGCGGAGCCTTAAAGTTGAAGTTGAAACGTCGTATTCGTATATTGGGCTTTTTTGTTTGCTAATCGTTGGCATCTAGTATTCATATATTGGGCCCAGAGATAAAGTATGTCGCTGTCCTCTTCAGCGAGAAATAAGCCCAAATTGATCTTTCCATTGTTCTGAAAAGCCGAATCTAGTAATACTCATGTCTCTGTCAGAGTATTTGTTTTTGTATAAATATCATGTTTTTTATATTCGTAATTTCAGGATTGTTAATTTATTTAGTTTTGAGCATGTTTTTTTTTATAAGCAAAAAAGATTTAAATTATTGAGAGTACAAGGGGTACTCCAACCCGTTACAATAGAATTCAAAACTAAAGCAAAATTATGAGATACATAAACTCGGGTTATAATACCAAATAATGTAACTAAAAGAACAATCGGGGACAGAACTAGTAATTTACTTCCATGAACGCAGTTTAATGCTGTCCAACACTTCCTTGCAATCCGTAACACCTTGCTGAAAGATAATAATATTTCAATGAAGCTATAGTGACCAGATTACAGAAACTCAAACTACCTGAAAACACTGAGAGCGTTTTTTATATATACCAAGATTCGTCCAATATAGATAGAGAGAAATTAAAGAATTTGGAAGGACCACCGCAACTTCCAACCAATTAGCAACAACTAACCAAGTATTAAAAGCCATTGGGCACATTAGAAAGAGATGAAGAGGGTCTTCAACAAACAGAGAGCAAAGAGAACATAAATTGTTATCCAACTCCACACCATGTACTTGTAACAATGATTTGCACGGGAATGTATTTATGAACACCTGTTAATAGAACACCAAACACTTGATTGGAGCCTTACATTTCCAAACACTTTTTATGACTAGATGAAAATCTGAGGAATATCTAAGTTCTCCACTCAGCGAGCGCTGCAGCCAAAGGTACGCACTTTTCACTGAGAATACACCATCCTTATCACAAATCCATCTCCAATGATCTTGCTTAGAAGAGAAAATTTGCAGACCTTGAAACATTTCCAACAAGGTATTCACACTCTTTACTTCATGGACAAAAGGTTCTCTTCTCCAATTAACCTGCCACACCCACCTAGATCCCTCCCAAGTTCCATTATGCCCCACCATTGACAACGGATCAAAGGTAAAGGAGTACAAACGAGGAAAGA